TGCACAATGTTTGAGCAAAAAGTATATACAAAAATTGCGAGATATATTTAATTAAAATTAAAACTGTTTGAACTAAGCTATTTAAACCAAAAAATATTTAAATTAATTATCTATTAGATTAACAAGTCTTAATGCTCAATGGAAACATACCTAAAACTTCGTTGTGAACTTGTGAATTTGTCAGAGGACAAATTCGTATACCTAATTGGAATTTATTATAACAGGAGCTTACTTATAAGTATTTAAATACATTCATGAGCAAACTGTACGTAAGATATACTTCGTTGTTGTTTCACTGTTTATTAGAAAACTTCCCCTAATTTCTTAAACTGTACCATAGTCTTTATTCACACATAATTAACTTATGTAACATCTTTTAGCACAAAGTTGCTTAGCAACATCATTGTCTGGGAAAAAGAAAATTGCCATGAGTTTAGAATATTTTTGTGAAGTACAATATGATAATAACTATTTATAAATATTAATTTAGTAATTTCTAGGCAATTACAATGAGCATTTTATTTCACACATTTCATATGTACCTATGTATATTTAATATTTAAATAATATATTTCATATATTATGTTAGATAAATATATTTCATATTTATAGTTTGTGTATTGACTTTATACATCTCATGCACTTTGTTTGATGTATTTAAGTATTCGTATATATTCCACATACACACACACACACACACATATTTTTGCATTCCTACAAATGCACAAATATTTAGAATTATTATTAATGTCTAATGTTGAATTATTAATGTTTCGAGGAACATTATTATAAGTAATTTATGGTAAGCAATAAGAGAAACAGCATTTCAAGTAAAAGTAAGATATTTCATCATTACTCGTTACCAGACTCAAATGAGAAAAGTAAAGGAAATGACTTCCGCGTCAGTTATGCGATATATCTACAGAAAGTTTGACGAATAGAGATAGCTATTGAAGTTACTATTGAAGAGACAATCATGTCAACCTTTTAAAATGAAAGAAACCTATTTAACAAAAATGTATTAATTGCACCAATATATTAATAATCGACATGTATTTCATTATACATTAAACAATAATATTATAATTACTGAATTATATATAATTATAATTGTGGTAAATTCGAAACTGCACAAAATGCATTCAATATGAAAAAATATCCAAAACAGAGTATCTATGAAACAAATTTCTACTTGGGTGCCATTTCTTTAGTTATAAAGTTTGCAAAAACTTTGAACAAATGCATAAAAATTCGCAATAATTACATATTAATAATTATATATTGATTTAGTTTCCAAATTCAATTTATTTTATTGCATCAATTTGATTAAGTTGTTTCTATGTTCAAACCATTAAGGATTAGCATTAAGGATTAGCATTAAGGATTAACATAATATTTCATTTGCAATCTTTTTTAATCAAATTTTATTTTTCAATATTGCTTGACATTTTGATACTTCAAAAGATTCTACAATTCTATGGAATTATAATATTTATAATATATTTTTGATTATTTGAATATATTTATAATATGTTATTATATATTTTTGAAAAATTAAAATAATAAGTAGAAATACATATACAGAAATTTATGTTATGTTGTATTCAGTTTGACTGGGGTCTCAATAAATATTATTAATCCACTTTTGCTTTTGGTCATCTCGTGTCACTTTACATATTCAATAACTGAAATAACTCTATTCTCATGTATTTTGGAACGTTTCATTTTATTCAGTACTTTACGTTTTACACGATAAAAATCAGCAACAAAATTAAACAAAATTACGAAATTAAATATTTCATCTTTAAACTATTTACCTGTTGTAACAATCAACAATTAATTAGTTATTTAACTTTAATCAATTGACGTGAATTGTCTCGTAAGAATATCGAAGTAGAATATCAAAGCAACGAAAATTTATCCAACGAAACCAGTCGAGGAATTAAAACAAAATTTCCTAGCGCAACCTTGAACGTTTCTAACCAGAACTGTCGAGACTGTATTCACCTGGGACAGTTAACGGCTTAAAAATGATTCAGGTTCCCACACGTGTGAACGCGAACGGTAAAATTAACCGCGAAAAGATCACGTAAACGGGATTCGAAGGGACAAATCGAAGATTGGGCCCAGCTATAGTGTTACGTTGAGGAAGTCACGCGGCCCTCGAGGCCCCGAGGCCCCGAGGCTCCCCCCTCTCCCCAAAAAATGAGGACATTCCGCGCAACGTGCGAGGGGGAGGGGGGTCTCGACTAAACCAGGTTCCAGATTCGAGTACACAGAATCGACGAGAGTGGAGGGAGAAATTTGGGCAACCATATGTTACGTACTACACCGGCGTCATCAAAATTCCTAAGATCGTAACTAGGTAAAGGTTCCTCGGTCGTCCGTTGCCCTAACGCCGCCAAGGAAACGTGACCTAATTCGATTAGCTTGTTTGGACGAACAAAGACAGAAAAATGAAAAAAAGTGGTCGATAGGTTTGGTTCTGGTCAATTCCGAACGTCGAGTCTCGTGGTATTTTTTATTTTTTTTCTTTTATGTTTTTTAAGAACCAAGCCAAAAAGAAATGTCCTGAATTCCACGATAAAAGAAGACTACCGGCTATTCTTTATATTTAATTGTAATCCTACGTGTGGAAGTGGAACGAGTTGCTCGAAGGTGAAACATCGAGGAGTTGATTTCGTTCGAGGATCTTTCGTCGGTTCTCAAAACAAACATTCCATAAAAATTTGCTTTTTCTTATTGCAAAAGTCAACGATATGGACCAAAATCATACAGGCTCGTACTTTATGTGTAAAATACATAAACACTGTAATATCGATAGTTTATACTTGTAATATTAATAATGATAATTTCTCTGTAATATTAATATTCTAATACCGATGATTTACTAATAAATATTTTATCGTATGTATGAGTATAGTCAGAAGCATCGAAATACTAAACTAATTATTAAACTGCACTTTCAAATTCTCACAGACGTAATCGATGGAATGAAACTTAAGGAAACTTAGAAAATTGTTTCTTTCACATATTATTACGATCAATACCGTTCCGAATTTTCCACAAACGCGCGAAAATCCTTAATTTAACAATCAGTTATATATACAAATAAGTATACAAAAAACGCTCACATATATACGAATTAATAACAATACCGACAACGCAGCAACAGCGTCTTTTCTCTTCTCGAAAGCATTGTCACGCGCGATTATACATGATCCAGTGATCCATCCAGAGCAAGCAAGGCTTTTGTTCTCCACCAGTCAGGTCAATTGGAGCACGAAGTAAAGCCCAGGCGTTAGAACGAAAAGAAGATAAAAAAAAAAAAAGAAGAAATGGAAGAAGAAAACACGAGGGGCGGGAGGGAAGGGGGAGGCGGATTGTTTCCAGTTTGTTTGGCACTAGAAACCAAGAGTGGGTCGAGGCGATTCAATGTTGTAGCGATAACGAGCTTGCTCACGATTTTAACGTCGCCGCCGCACCGGTTCGCTTTGGTTTCCTCTTCTGTCCCGTTTGCTTCCTGCCACCTTCCATTCGTCTCCAAGCCGACGACACTCGTCTCGGATTCGTGACGACGGCAAAAAATCGAGCGGATCGGCCACCTCTTTTCCGCGCCACCGTGTCCAGAACCCAGCCTTGCTCTTCCAGTTTTGTCCTGTTTACCAAGTAGGACAATCGAGATGGAGAGTAAAGCACGGCGGGCGTGCGCGCGTAGAGACGCGTGTTTCTGCGGATGCCTCGCTGTTTCTTCACTGGTTTTCTCGTTTCTTTCGCGCTGAATTCGACGAAGAGAACGAACCTTTATATCTTGTGGCAATATAAAAGCCGTTTACTTCGAAAGTGGCCTAAGTCCATTTTCCAAAAAAAAAAAAAAAAAAAAAAAGAAAAATCAATTTATAATATTTACATTTCTGCGTTTTCTATCTTGGTTAAATTCTTATAATATTTAAATCCGGGATCATCGTTTTATTCACTTGCTATTTTACTTTTTCACACGGTCGCGAAGTAAGAAAAGTAGAAACAAAAATGAAGCACAAAAAAAAAGAGTGGGAGCGTGAAAAGGGAACGTATATCAATATGTACATCGCAGGAACATGAACGACAAGAATTTTAATGCCGCGTGGCATCAGGACTCGAATCTAATCTTCGCCAGAGATCGGCCAGCCTAGAACATTAACTTTTAATGGCGCCAGCAGGCATAAGTAAAACGAAATCGTAAGTAAAATCATTTTATTAGGTTAATGGTATATGTGAACTGTCCATTTTCAGACGAAACTTGTACATTTAGTTTATTGCTCGTTCAAGTAATAAAATGAATTAATTTGATTATTTTACATTCTAATAATCGTCTTTAAATTGTTCACAAATATGATACTGTACATACATATGTATACAGACACTACAAGATTAAAATGGATATAAAGTGTTATTACAATATAATATATATACATACTTTAATTTTGTGTATATAGGATTTAATACCTACCTAAAAGACAATTTAAAATGAACAGTAAAAGTAATATAAGTAATATATTAAGACTAAAAAGATAGTATAATAAAGGTAAATAAACAGTATAAAAAGAATGTTTAAAATTAACGTAATAAACAGGTTATACTTAACATTACTTAATATTAATAACTGATATAATACTTGTATATAATACTATATTATAAATATTGGTATAAACATTGATAATTCTCAATGTTCATACTTAACATTACTTAATATTAATAACTTCTTCACTTAACATTACTTAATATTAATAACTGGTATAATATTAATTGTATATAATACTAGTACAAATATTAGTATAAACATTGATAATTCTCAATATTCATACTTGTATCATTAAAAATTATTTTATACTCAAGATATTCATTTATATTTCATATTAATTTTTTTCATTAAATAATATCTTCTAACTCATGCCCATTTTCAGACTGGTTTCAAACTTGAGCAACTTAATTATGACATTAGTTTCAACTGATATTTATTAATTAACTTATTACGTTTATTTCTATATTTTATAGTATTGTATACCGCTATAAATATAATATAATATTCTTATTAATATTTCTTATTCAGTATAATTAAATTTGGATTTAATTGTAACAAAACGGCAAATGCTACGAGTGTACTCGCCACTATCCAAAAAATGATCGCACACTCGTCGATCGCTGTTAAACGAATTAATCGATTAAAATGCAAATTCGAAACCTAGCTCTTAATGTGTACAACAAACTACGCCACGCACACTCCGAATCGCGAAGCACGTTCGCCAGAGAATTACCAGACAGCAGGGATTACTTTCGGAATTCACAGGCGCGAATGAAAGATTTCACGAAGCCACGCGGCATCGGGGAGGCCCGCGAGTACGTAAATCTTCCAAGGACGACGTACACAAGCACGCCCGGGAGCCGGAAACTGAAACGCGGTGTGTACGGGCATTAAGGCATAGCGCGGCGACAACCGCGTGGCAGAACGATGTATACAACAGGCCATAGTATAACATAGGTAAGTGTGTTTGTGGGTCAGTGGCACGAGAGCTGGCCGCCGCCGCCACCGCCGCCACAATCAGCCGGCACGCTGGCAAAATCCTGCACCAGTGGTGAGCAACCGACGAGCATCTGAAACATATATTAACTTTAATATAAATATAAAATAGAACTCTATCTTATACATCTACTTAAACATAAGGCAGAACTCTATTTTATATATCTATTTAAATATAAGGCAGAACTCTGTTTGTATGAATGAAAAAAAAAAAAAAAAAAAAAAAGAATAATAGAGAAGAGGAACAGTGGTCTCTTGTCATTTGAACCAAATTATAGGCAACAGCCGATTAAATGAACTTTTAGCGACTTATTTAAACTTTTATTGTACGAACGAAAAAAAAATAGTAGAAGGGGGAATCTCGTTGTATGAACTCCAATTATACAGAATGTCTTCGAAATCATGATACAAGCGGCCTGATGGTGATTCTAGGTGCGAAAGTAAGTCGAAGAAAGGAATGACATTTTTTTTTT